ATCATTGCATTTTTCAAATAAAAATATGCATCAACCATGTCATCTGACCACTTAACAATTTCTGACATTTTCTCTGGGTTGTGACTTATCATAATAGGAACAGTCAGGTATCCACTGGCGGCAGTAACCAATGGCTCCAAGAAAGGAGAGCATGTCTTTCTTGGTTTGTGGGCGGGCAAGTTTCAGGAGAGCCACAGCTCTCTTTGGACTGACTTTCCTTTCCTCCTTTTGTAAACACAAAACCCAGATATTTAACACTTATTTTACACCATTGTAGTTTTTTCTTTGACACTTTGTGTCCACCTTCAAAAAACATTTCAACAAACTCTCCCCATCCCTCAGGCCGGCCCCCTTAGTGAGACTGCAGAGGCAGATGACATCCGCGTACTGCAGCAGGACTGACCCATAGTCCGGTGTCCACCCCCTCAGAGTGACCTGGAGAACAGTTGAGTAGACTACAGAAAAATCTACAAAAAACCCTGAGGCATTAAACAGAAAACAAAAATGGGCTGTGTCTCTGCATCAACAAGGACGCTAAAAAATGCATTTGCTAAATTAATTACTGAAAAACATTCAGCATCAGACGGTATGGCTGTAAAAAAGACGGAATGTCAAACACCAACAGAACAATGTTTTGTAACACAGTCAATGTCCTCTATTTCTAAACATTTAATTATTAACGTGTCTCCTACAGTGAGAAATGGATATTGCTTGGTTTGTGTTGCCCCTGTGTCTGGTTCTACCTGCCCTTCCAGGACTGAAAATTTTATCTATTCCTGCTTTATTTGCCAAGTCTACTAATAGGGACCCTGATATCTCTTTTAATCCTTCAGCAGAAAAAAAAAAAGTTCCTCATCCTGTGTGAAATCAGGAATTCCTTGGGTGGGGGTTCAGGTTGGTCTTCCACCATGTCCTGGACTGGGACGGGGGATGAAGCTGTGGATTGGATTTGCTGCTGTGCTGCAATAAAAAAAATTCACGTCCTCTTTGGAGAAGGAAAGATATATTCTGACAGTACGGAGCTGACAGTACGGAGCGGGTCTAGTAACACATAACCACTTATCACTCTCAACAAAAGATAGACAATAAGAACTTAAATATTGACTCTATTTCAATAACTTCGACCCGTTCACTTACCAACCGGGTTCACTTATTTTCATAAACAAATTATCTTATACTATATACATTTGATAGTAGAAGCAAAGAAAAGAAAGTTGGTTACCCTCAACAGACTAGTTAAGACTCTGTAATTATACCTAGACCCCGTCTAGATATTTAAAATGTAATGTACCCAGACCCTGTCTAGGTATTTAAAATGTAGACCCCGTCTACATAAATCACCTTTCCTTATCTGAGTCTCCCGGAGACTCAATGAAGTATTCCCAGAATACTCCTGTCACAGTTCAGAGATCGAGAGTTAAGTCAGAGCCCACGGACAGCCGGACAGACAGACAGATTTTGTTTATCTTACCGGGTGACCGCAAACGGGTTGACCTCCCGATCTCGGTGGGACCTCCAATTGAAAGGTTGTCCATAGCCCCTGGCTATCAGTCTTTATAGTCGGTTTCAGGTACGGACGCGTCGGGGAGATTGACTTCATCTCAGAAGAGACAACAGACATACACATACACACAGTGATAGGTAAAATCAATCTCTCAAGTTTATTATCGGGAAGGAAGGTCTATTTACAATATCTACAATAACGTGACTATTACTATCATAACCTTTATAATGTATCAGCAAACCACATTTATACAATGTACATGTCATTACATAGACCTCCCAGTTGGTGTCACCATGCGTTCACCTTTCTCAGGTCAACAACCAATAAGGTCTAGCTGAGAGGGTGGTGCGTCTTACACCTTCTGACAATAGGTCTTCAGTGATTTCGGTCTGTACACTTACCACCCAGACTTACTACTCATACAAAACAAATTATCTTATACTTCTATATGTAGAAAATAATAAACTTTAGACACAGAATGAGTGACTATAGGCAATCTCCCTGAGATTTCTTAGTCTCCCGGAGACAATTTTACTAACACTCCCGGAGTGTTCTGCTCCCAGAGCACATATTGGCTTAAATGGATATCGGACTAATCAGAGCCTCCCAGTTTCCTTGTATCCAACTTGTACAGGTTATATAGAAAATAATTCTACTTACCGGACAAGTGGATGGTCACTGAGCGGGTGATGCCGATATCCCGGACGAGCCCCCAAAACTGTTGGTTCTATTGACCCTTAGACCCCTGGTCTAAGTTCTCTGTCACTCGTTCTGTCTCCTCAGGCCTGGAGAAGCATTGGTTACAAGTAATCACACATGAGACCGTCTTGTAAGTAACCAAAAACTTCTAATTTATTCCACAACGAAAGCTCTCTTATATAGTACAATATAACGTGCAAGTGAGAATACAAGCATTTACGTCAATCCTGAATAATGATGAGAAGCAAAATTTAATTTTCCCAAGAATAAGGAATGTCTATAATATTACATAAAAACTTATCTGCTACATACAATAGAATCTCGCTAGATACTTTTCAAGGCTGTGAACATGATCTTTCTCAGGCATTTGTAATTAGTTATACAGTTGCAAGAAAAAGTATGTGAACCCCTTGGAATTACGTGGAGTTTTGCATGAATTGGGCATAAAATGTGCTCTGAACGTCATCTAAGTCACAACAATAGAAGAACACAGTCTGCTGAACATAATACTACACAAACATTAGATGTTGCCATGGTTTAATTGCACATAACATGCAAACATTCACAGTGCAGGGAGGAAAAAGTATGTGAACCTTTGGACTTAATAACGGGTTGACCCTCCTTTGGCAGCAATAACCTCAACAAAACGTTTCCTGTAGTTGCAGATCAGACCTGCACAACGATCTGGAGTAATTTTGGACCACTCCTCTTCACAAAACTGTTTCAGTGTAGCAATATTCTTGGGATGTCTGGTGTGAATCGCTCTCTTAAGGTCATGCCACAGCATTTCAATCAGGTTGAGGTCAGGACTCTGATTGGGCCACTCCAGAAGGCGTATTCTGTGCTGTTGCAGCCATTGTTTTGTTGAATTACTTGTATGCTTTGGGTCATTGTCCTGTTGCATCACCCATCCTCTGCAGAGCTTCAGTTGGCAGACAGATGGTCGTATGTTTTCCTGCAAAATGTCTTGATAAACTCTGGAATTCATTTTCCCATCAATGACAACAATCCGTCCAGGCCCTGAGGCAGCAAAGCAGCCCCAAACCATGATGCTCCCTCCGCCATGTTTTACAGTGGGGATGAGGTTTTGATGTTGGTGTGCTGTGCCTTTTTTTCTCCACACATAGTGTTGTGTGTTCTTCCCAAACAACTCAATCTTGGTTTCATCTGTCCACAGTATATTTTGCCAGTAGTGCTGTGGAACATCCAGGTGCTCTTTTGCAAACTTCAAACGTGCTGCAATATTCTTTTTGGACAGCAATGGCTTCCTCCGTGGTGTCCTCCCATGTACTCCATTCTTGTTTAATGTTTTCCTTATTGTAGATGTGTCAACAAAAATGTTAGCATGTGCCAGAGATTTCTGTAGGTCTTTAGCTGACACTCTGGGATTCTTCTTTACCTCATGCAGCATTCTGCGCTGTGCTCTTGCAGTCATTTTTACAGGACGACCACGACTAGGGAGAGTAGCAACAGTGCTAAACTTTCTCCATTTGTAGACAGTCTGTCTTACCATGGACACATGAACATCAAGGCTTTTGGAGATACTTTTGTAACCCTTTCCAGCTTCATGCAAGTCAACAATTATTGATCGAGGTCTTCTGAGAGCTCTTTTCTGCGAGGCATGGTTCACATCAGACAGTGCTTCTTGAAACCAGTAAACCCAAAACAGGTGTGTGTTTTTTAAGGGCAGGACAGCTGTCAGCAACACATCCAATATCATCACACTGATTGGAGTCAAGGTTGGCTCACTCCTGGCTCCGATTAGCTCTGGGAGTAGTCATTAAGCTAGAGCCTCACATACTTTTTCCTCCCTGCACTGTGAATGTTTACATGTTATGTGCAATTAAACCATGGCAACATCTAATGTTTGTGTAGTATTATGTTCAGCAGACTGTGTTCTTCTATTGTTGTGACTTAGATGACGTTCAGAGCAAATTTTATGCCCAATTCATGCAAAACTCCACGTAATCCCAAGGGGTTCACATACTTTTTCTTGCAACTGTAAGTAACAAACAATTATTTTCTCATGGAACAGAAATATTTGACATTTAATTGTATCATAACAGAAACAGGTGCTTGTTAATACAAAGAAATAATTGGATACTTTTACCGTCTCTACCAAGGCTAAGCTAAGATAAAAGATAGAAGAATTTTGTGAGTATAGTTCTGTAATACATAACTGACATAGCATATTTTCATTAACTCATTCTGGGTATAATACAAAACAATTAATCAACATGGAATATAAAATGGAGTGGGAAAAAAAAAAAATGACAGACCTAAAAGACATACATTTCCCTTCAGGCAAGAACACAGGGGCCCCATGATCCCCCCCATGAGTTCTCAGTCCACCCGTTTGCATCTCAAAAGTGCAGTATGACGGCGGTGGTAAAATCAGGACAAGAGTTGAGCCCCTCATTATTGATGCATTACATGTGCAACTTATCTGCGTCATTGGCTAAACAAGAAGAAAAAGTCTATGCCTTTCGCAGTCCCAATGGTGTGGAGAGAAAATCCACTAATCATAGTAGCAACTGTTATTTTTGCATGGTTCCCCCAATTGCAAAAGGAATCTCAAGAAAAAATAAGTGGAACGTGAAATATCCGAGCATTCCATCTGCACTGCGTCCTGTACCCCATGGCTAGGACTTTTACTCTCTAGACTCAGATGATGATAAAGACAATGAGTAGGATGCAGCTGATCCGGGGGCCGTCAGCAGACCCAAACTTTAGCCCACCATATCTAATTTCACAGAGTGAACTAAATAACCTGGTCAGGGATTTGGAATTGCCTAAGACTAAGGCAGAGCTACTGGGCTCCAGATTACAACAGTAGAACCCAGGGGCGGACTGACAACTCATGGGGCCCCCGGGCAATAGGGGATCATGAGGCCCCTCTGTCCTTACCCAAACTCAAAAAAACCTATGAAAAAGGTACCAGGGGCATCCCATGGGGCCCCCTACTGACCCCGGGCCCTCGGCCAGTGCCCGAGTTTCCAAATGGTCAGTCCACCCCTGGTGGAACCTCTTGCAGAGTGATGTCAGCAAAAACCATGAAAATGTTACATGAAAAAACAATAAATGAATGGAAAGTTATATTATTGTATCAATAATAGAAAGAAAAATGTATAATGATTGGTGTGGCACCATTCTCATTGCTGTATCACATACTGCAGAAAAGGTATGGAGCATAATCACACATCATCCTCCTAATTTTGAATTATTTTGATGCAATTTTGACCTAAATCTTGGAAACTGGAGCCAATTAATACTCAGGAATTATATTTCCTTTTTTAGTGACCCAATTCTGATAAAATGTAGCTACTCTCATTTCCGAGGCTTTCTCCTTGTAGATCAGTGTTCTTTGACTAAAAGCTTTGAAAGCAAGAGGATTAGCATGACAGCCAGGAAAACTAGCTTCTCAGCACATATATTCTGTAGGGCTCTTTCACTCTATATGTGGTGACCTGCCTTTTTCTGCAGAGAACAATTGTTTTTGAAGTGCCCTGTGCATGCCACAATGTTGCAGTGATGTGCGTTGCAGAAAAATGCAGACACTCTGCGTTTTCCTGCCGTGCATTCCATGGCACCACACAGCAGCACACTGCACTGTGCATTTGTACACTGTCAATTAAGTTTTTTAAAAGAATGATGTTGCTGACACTGGGGGGAACTGACTTCCCCAGTGACACCAATTCAGTTTTCAGTGTTAATAAAAAGCACTGACACTGTACTAATGGCACTGGGCAGGAAGGGGTTAACATCTGGGGCAATCAAAGGGTTAACTGTGTGCTGGGTATGGTTTACTATGAGGATATGTCTATGTGCTTCACTGTAAGCACACTGCTTTGCATGAGCTGACAGGGAAGAGAACTGTTTTGTTTACTAACAGTTCTCCCCCCTCATCGGAGATCCTCAGCAATCACCGGGCGCCGGTGAGTAATCACCAACCGGGAACCCGGTGATTGATAGCCACAGCCGTGAATGGTGGCGCGGGTAGGGCACGCGCGTGCCCCCTACCTGAGAATGCAAAATCACGTAAATATCTGCTATAGGGTGGACGGGAAGTGGTTTAAGTGATTGTAGACCCTCGCATATACCCATTGAAGTGAGAAATGAAACAAATCCTCTTACATAAGTTGTATATCTGCATCTATTTCTTCTCTACATCTATTCAAAGTGCTGAATTTATAAAGCTTGTCTGAGAGTTAACAAAAGGAGGTGGAGAGCTGACATTACACTTTGCAGAGCTCAGTAAGGAGAGTTCTGAGAGCTGATTGGAGGGAAGAAACACTCTCCCCTCAAAAACAGCACACAGGAACAGAGCTGAGGCTGTCAATCTGCTGGAGGTTTCTCCTGTCACCATTTTTCTCTTGGTGTCAGGAAAACTTGTCAGAACTGATTCATGCTGATAGCATGAAGGAATGAAGCAGCAGACAGAAATGACACTTAATTGAGATGACTACACAGTATAGAGGGATATTAATTTTTCATATTTTCATGTCTGAGGATTACTGCCACTTTAAAGGTGGTGGCTGTGTGTTGTCACCCTACTTCAGGAAGCTCAAGTGAATGCATTGGACTGGCAGGATCTCCAGGTAAAATGTACTAATTATTTATGGGTTAAATACCTGTGTCTTGCTGGGGATATTTCCCTTCACTTTCTCTCCTGGAAACAGGAAATTGAGTAGAAATCTCCCCGACATGAGGGGAATTACCACCTTACATCAGTTCAGGTTTCCTACACTTCTTGTGACAATTAGAAATCTTTGGATTTCCCATCACTTTCTGTCTCAGGGGTGGCTAGGATAAACAGGGAGGATGATTGTACCTGGCGGGGACACAGACACCGATGCTTTAGGACTCATTCAGATGGATGATCAAGTTTGTCCTCAGTGCAGAGCTGCTGGATGATGCTTCCACCTCGGAGCTGTGTGCAGGCAGTCCATAGAAATGGATGTACATGCAGGGTCTGTATGGACACAATCACATATCAAAGTGTGACATGTGAGCAGGATCCATGCACCCGCTGCTGCCTGCATGTCAAACTTTAACATGTGATTGTGTACAGACCTGCACACAGCTCTGAGGAGAGAGGGGGGGGCAAGCGAGGGAGAGGGGTGAGAGAGGGAGGGAGTTGGAGAGAGGGAGGGAGGGAGGGGGGAGGGAGGAAGGGAGAGAGAGCAAGTGAGGGAGAGAGTGAGGGAGAGAGTGAGGGAGAGAGAGAGGGAGGGAGAGAGCGAGGGAGAGAGAGAGGTAGGGAGAGAGCGAGGGAGAGGGTGAGAGAGTGAGGGAGAGAGATGGAGGGAGTTGGAGAGAGGGAGGGGGGAGAGAAAGCAAGTGAGGGAGATAGAGAGCGAGAGAGAGAGAGGGTGAGAGAGTGAGAGAGAGATGGAGGGAGGGAGAGAGATGGAGGGGGGAGAGAGAGCAAGTGAGGGAGATAGAGAGCGAGAGAGAGAGGGTGAGAGAGTGAGGGAGAGAGAGGGAGGGAGTTGTAGAGAGGGGGAGGGAGGAAGGGAGAGAGAGCAAGTTAGGGAGAGAGCAAGGGAAAGAGAGGGGGGGGAGAGCGAGGGAGGGGGTGAGAGAGACTGAGGGAGAGGAGGGGAGAGGAGAAAGGGAGAGAGAAAGGGGGGAGGGAGAGAGTGAGGGAGGGAGAGGATGAGAGAGGGAGGGAGTTGGAGAGAGAGGGGGGAGGGAGGAAGGAAGGGAGAGAGAGCAAGCGAGGGAGAGAGTAAGGGGGGGGAGAGGGAGGGAGAGATAGGGAAAGGGGGGAGAGGAAGCGAGGGAGAGAGAGAGAGGGGGTGGAGGGAGAGAGGGGGAGAGCAAGCAAGGGAGAGAGCAAGAGAGAAGGAGAGAGGGAGGGGATAGAGAGAGAGGGATAGAGAGGGAGACAGAGAGGAGGGAGGGAGAGAGCAAGCGAGAGGGAGAGAGAGGGAGGAGGAGAGAGCGAGGGGGGGGGGAGAGCAAGCAAGGGAGAGCGCAAGGGGGAGAGAGGGAGTTAGAGAGAGGGAGGGAGAGCGAGGGAGAGAGCTAGAAGGGAAGGGGAGAGGTGGAGGGAGGGAGGGTGAGGGGGAGAGATTTTTAGCTTGAGTTAGAATAGAAATGAGAACTGCAGTTCTAAAATAAATGCACTTAGGGGGAGATTTGCTAAAGCCGGTTCACTCCGAAATCTGGTGCACCTGTGCATGGTAGCCAATCAGCTTCTAACCTCAGCTTGTTCAGTTAAGCGTTAGCAATAAAACCTGCAAGCAGATTCTGAGTTAACTAGCTTTAGTACATAAACCCCATTCTGCGGAGAGATGAAATTACACAGTGCAGAGCTCAGTGAGGAGAGCTCTGAGAGCTGATTGGAGGGAAGGGACACACCTCCCTCCACACAGCTCACAGGAACAGAGCTGAAGCTGTCAATCACAGGCTGTGCGCTGGAGATTTCTCCCCTATCACCTTTTCTCAGGAAAAACTTGTCAGAGGTGACTCATGCTGATAGCAGAGGAAGGGGGCACAGGCAGAAATGAGACTTGGTGCTCTGGATTGAGACAAGTACACACAATAGAGGGATATGCTTTATTTATATTTCATGTCTGAACGCTCTAATAGAAGACAATAGGGTGTGACTTGACATAGGATTTGCAAGTCTCCTGGCATGTAAGTGGCACCCAATATGACGAGGGGCTCAGAGATAAACCTATCAGAGATGTCTCCCCCTGTCCTGCAATCATTGCTCCTATACAGGGAAGGCTGTGTGGGTGTACATGCAGGTCCTCTGCTACCTGATCACAATGGACACCCTTTCATCAGCAGTGTATGAGTTAGTGATGGAGGAGGGGCAGGAACTGTGCTCAGGATGAAGTATACCATGCTATCAGCATGTAGAGGATGATGATGATGCAGCAAACTGTGGACTGGTGTGTGCTCTTCTATGAGCATGTAGAGGATGAGGATGACTCAGGTAGCAGTGGTCTGGCTATATACTCCCCTTTCAGAATGTAGAGGATGAGAATGATTCAGGGATCATAGTCTGGCTGTGTGCTCCTCTCTCAGTATGTTGAGGATTGAGATGACACTGGGTTCAGTGGTCTGTTTTTTTTTCACTATGTAAAGGATGAGGATAACACAGGGAGCTGTGGTCTGGTTGTATACTCCTCTATCAGTATGTAGAGGATTAGGATGACACAGGGATCAGTGGTCTGGCTTTGTGCCCCTCTATCAATATGTAGAGAATTAGAATGGTAGAAGGATCAGTGGTCTACCCTTTCAGTATGAAGAGGATGAGGATGTCAGAAGGATCAGTGGTCTCCCCTCTCGGGTATGCAGAGGATAAGAATGGTAGAAGGATCAGTGTTCTCCCCTCTCAGTATGAACAGGATGAAGATGACAAAAGGATCAGTGGTCATTGCTCTCCCCTCAGTATGTAGAGGATAAGGATGACAGAAGGAGCTGTGGTCAAATATCTCCTCTTTCAGTCACTGGAGGATGAGGATGACAGAAGGTATCTGGTCAGTGGTCCCCTCTCAGTCTGTAGAAGATGGTGACGATAAAAGAAGATCTCCCCTCTCAGTCTGTACAGGATGAGGATAACAGAAGGTCCCCTCTAGTCAGTGGTCTCCCCTCTCAGTCTGTAGAGGATGATGATGAACAAAGGTCTCCCCTCTCAGTCTGTAGAGGATGAAGAGGACAGAAGGTCTCCTCTGGTCAGTGGTCTCCCTTCTCAGTCTGTAGAGGATGAGGATGACAGAAGGTCCCCTCTAGTCAGTGGTCTCCCCTCTCAGTCTGTAGAGGATGAGGATGAACAAAGGTCTCCCCTCTCAGTCTGTAGAGGATGAAGAGGACAGAAGGTCTCCTCTGGTCAGTGGTCTCCCTTCTCAGTCTGTAGAGGATGAGGATGACAGAAGGTCTCCTCTGGTCAGTGGTCTCCCCTCTCAGTCTGTAGAGGATGAGGATGACAGAAGGTCTCCTCTGGTCAGTGGTCTCCCTTCTCAGTCTGTAGAGGATGATGATGAAAGAAGGTCTGATGACAGATTCT